ACGATCTTCTCAATGTTGGGATGCAGAACCTTGATGGCAACATGGCTAGATGGTACCCTCGAGGGCGAGCTCTTGAGCGTCACATCGACATTCTTCTTGATCCGCCGCGCTAGATTGAGTTCTTCTCGATCGATGCTGTTGTCCTCCAGAGTCGCAAGGTGCGGCTTCAGCTTCGCCTTGTAAACCTGTGCTATGGCGCCAACGCCCAATGGCTTCTCGTCGAACTCCTCGAAGATGTCGTCAAAGCTCTGTCCGTCAAAAGCCGCCTCGATCGTTTGCTTCGTGACTTGTAATGTGTGCGCCGGGGCGTTGGAGTGAAGGGTCGACATGATTGAACACATTTCGGTTGGGAAGACGTCTGTTCGGGAGGCAGCCCATTGTCCGAGCTATCATGGAGTCAGTCTACTTGTTATCTTCCGAGTCTGACGTGACGGCACGCACCTTGATGAAGGCTGCACCAGCCCTCTCCATAGACCCGACCAAGAAGCCATACCACCATAGTGTCCCACTCCGCTCGTTGTCTCTATCCGGCTGTCGTGAACCAAGCCATATCGCAGGTATCGTCACGATGACCGGCACGAAGATGATGACGAGGTGGAGGAAGCGGAATCCGGTGGCTATGGGCTCGATTATGTAGTCCTCGATGAAGAAGTATATGCCTCGCCTGTACTTCGTAGAGTGCCTCAGCGCGTGGGGCACCTGCTCGTCGAGCTCCTTCCGCGACGCCTCCAGCATGGCCTCCTCATGCGTTTTCTCTCCATGGCCGGATTTGTCATTGGCGACGTCGACGAAGGCAAGCGGACTGAGTATCGCGCCGCCCGCAGCTCCCGCGGCAGCACCGGACCATAGTATCGTTCGACCTTTGAAGTTTGGAGTCGCAAATTGACGGCGGAAGCGGGAGGCGGCGGTGGATGGACGCGTGAAGGCGCGGGTTGCGAGTTTGGGCAGGCCTGGGCGACAGCATTGGCGACCAAAAAGGAACGCCGTCCTCATGGTACCGGGTGGTGGGCAGATGCGCGTACGGCGTCCATAAGGCAGGTAGCAATGCGCTGCTTGACCTGGCCCGCCCGTCGTGACGTCGGTCGGCGTAAATTCCATGTGACGCCGATCTGGCCGGGCTCCTCCGCGGCCACCAGCTGGAAGACACGCTGCCCCTCTCCTCCCACCACGCCCGTCACATCGCATGCCCCCCACGCCCGAGCCATGCGGTCCATTTCCAAGGTTCTGCTTCTTTCCTGCATGTGCAGTTCCGAGCAGGACAAGACATGTCGCACTAGTCGAGGCTATTTCCTGCCTTTCAATGCACTACCTGGCGCACCCGACAAGCACGGGACAGTTGTTGAAAGCAGATGATAGATATACAATTAATTACAATAGGGAAAACAGCCCCTTCCCGCCAGTGGATATCTACGCAGTAATGAAGCCCTCGAAGCCCTTGTCCAGTGCACTTCGCGTCATTTCGCTGTACAGTGGGAACCCGCCGGCGAAGTTCAACTGCTCTCGAATTTTTCCCGGCACGTTGTCACCCATGTACCATGACTTGGTCTGCGGGAACAGCGTCTTGTCCGAAAGTTCGGTGATCTTCTCTCGCCATTCCTTCTCTGCTTCGTGCGTGGCGTCACAGTAGTTGATGCCTTGCTCTCGAAGCTTGACCATGGCATCGACGATCCAGTCTCCCTGAACCTCAACGCAAGTGGGTCCGTTAGAGAACGCCGTTGGCCCCTGAGCTCCGTAGAGGAAGAAGCAGTTGCTACATTTCAGTCAGTATCTGCAGTAGCTGGAAGCACTTGAGAACTTACGGGAAACCGCTCAGGCTCATACCCAGGTATGAGTAAGTGCCGTTCTTCCACTTCTCAGAGAGCTCAACACCATCAACATCCTTCAGTCCCATGTTCTTCATACCACCCGTCACTGAATCGAAGCCGGTTGCAAGGGCGATGACGTCGAACTCGTGTAGAGTACCGTCAGCCAGCACAATACCCTTTTCGGTAACCTCCTTGATTGGGTTCTTGTTCACGTCGATGACCTTGTTCTCAGGCTTGTCGAGCATCTCATAGTAGTTCTGCTCCAGACTGGGTCGCTTGGTACCGAAGGCATGCGGCGGCTCGAGAGGTGCGAGGATCTCACGCTTCTCAGGATCCGTTATCCGGGCTCGCGTCTTCTTCGCCCAGAAGTTGTAGGCTTCGCGGTTGGCCTTGTTGTCGAACAACAGATCCTTGTAGTTTGCCTGCAGTTACAGTAAGTGTCTGCTCACATAGAAGCGTCATACCTATCGCTCACCAGCCAGAACTCGAAACCGCCGTTCTCCCACATCTTCTCGTAGAACGCCTCGCGCTCCTCGGGTGAGTCGTCGAAGGTGTTCTTCTCGATGTAGTCATACTGGAAGCCAGCGAACGTTGTCAATCTTTTCTTGAAGATTTCCTGGTATTCGCCCTGCTTCCGTCTGTCCTGCTCCTCCTTCGTAAGAGCTTTCTGTTGCATCGGAAGGCAAAGGTTCGGCGTGCGAACAAATTGGGTTATACTGGCGGCGGTCTTCGATGTCTCTTGGGCGATTTGAACACCTGTCGATCCAGTTCCAATGACGGCAACACGTTTACCCTTGACGTCTACTCCAGATGCTGGCCAGAATGAGCTGTGATGAATCTCGCCCTCGAACTTGTCCATTCCTGGCCAGTCGGGGAAATGACGCTTCGCCGCGAAGCCCAGAGCCAAAAGGAAATATTTGCAGCGCGCTGTCCGGCCATCTTCGGTCTTCACGACCCATTTTGACGAGGGTTTGTCGAACTGAGCCTCGACGACTCTGGTGTTGAATGCGCAGTCTTTCTTGATATCCAGTTTTCGCTCGACGTGGTCGAAATACTGTTGGAGCTCTTCCGTACCGGGGTATCTGCAGGACCAATTCCAGTCCTATCCGCCAATGTCAGTCTTCGTATAGCGATACGACAAGATTGTCACATACCTTCCAGATCTCAGGCATACTGTATTCATAGATGGGGACCTGGGAATCGACCCGAGCTCCGGGATAGCAGTTCCAGTGCCAGATACCACCAATGTTGGAACCAGCCTCCATGATCTTGCACTTGAACCCCTGCTGGCGAAGTTTGTGCATCAGGTAGACGCCGCCGAAGCCGGCGCCTACAATCACAACATCGGTCTCGAGCTCCTTTGCATAGTTCTCGTTATTCGGATCCGCCGCTTCGTTCGTCGCACCGATGTCTGTCCGGAAGTGAACCATTGTGGGAGGAGTGATTCTTGAATGAAGAGGAGGTTGGGAGACTGGAAAGCTACTGTCGATCCTTTGGATAGACACATCGTGGGCGACACACTCTCTATATATACGTCGACGCACGACATACCCCTCCTGCGCGGATCCTGCATGATCGCCACGCTATTCGCGATCCTGCCACCGTCTCGCGCCCGATAACCAGGGCGAATTGCGTTTCACCTGTGGACGCTGCCACACTCCAGTAACATTTCGAGACCACGTCGATCTTCTCTAGTATCCCATCCGACCGGACGCCCTAAGGGAATCAACGGAGATGTCGCGTGTGAAGGCCTGGCACTGGATGTGTCTGAATGCGGAAACACTCCGCGGCAACGCCACGCACAGGCGATCGAGACGGTTGCTCTCCGAATGTCTAGTTTGCGGGGTAGATACAGCTACCCCGGTACCCCGCATAACACCGTTTTATCAGGGCGAACATGATGCCGACGGAAACACCGGCTTGCCGATTATGGTAACTCGAACAGAACACATGTTGGTGATGCCAGAACTTTTCTCCAAACGTGGTTCTATAACGGCATCGTCACTCAAAGAGCAGCATTTGGAAACGATGTCGACTTCAAATCGCATGCAAGTGCTAGTATTCACCATGCAAATACATACAGAGTCAATGACTCGTGTTCGGGGTCGCAAGCTTCAAGCGCGATTAGTATGCACTAGTCTGCATCACATGGGACCAAATAAGCCCGACGATCGTATTGTCGCCTAGCCATTTCAGTGGTGTATAGGAATCTGGATGTCTCAACATGCGCAAATGCAGGGCATCCAGATGTTACCGCCCGGTCCGAAGGAAATCTGCGGAACCGCATCCCACAACGATCGGATTTGGACACATGCACGGACTCCTGAAGCTGCGCAGGCTGCTTATAGGACTCGGTGAAAGGGATTCATCTTCCGTTTTTCTGGACAAATGTCATCTTCCCATACATGCGATGCTAGTGGAGCTGGTCGCCATTATGAAGCACGAACGTGGCTTGAGAGTACATCTGTTGATCATCAAAGAAGGGGAGACTCTTGACATCACGAGAATTGCCAGACTTATCGTGGCACTCTGAACGAACTGCGAGAATATGACGCCGATGGAGCTGGCCCAGAGATGAAGTGGAGCTCCTGCTCCACTTCGTCAGAAAGTTTGAGTTACTATCCTGATCGTGATTCGGACGAGCTATCACTATTATGCCCGCCCAATGGTTTCTATCCACGATTGACTGAACCTCGCTGTTATGCTGCAGTGATTGAGCGGCAAGTTCATGTCACAGCTAGAGCCTCTTGATTCTTGACAAACCTCGCTAAAATACTACACACCTGCTGCGCTAACGCTCATCATAGGAAAATGTTCAAGCGATTGTACTCCAGACTATGCTGACTTTCCTAGCCTGAACCCCAAAGAGCTCCAGCAACCAAAACCGCTTTTCGTCAAACCTTACCTCCGCTGTCGGCGTCCAACTCGTGAGGATCCGAGCTTGCCAATTCCGCGGGAATCTGCTTTTCCTCACTAACCTCATGGCATGTGCCTCCCCTTGTCGCGTCCAAAGAAGAACCGTCCGCTTCGTAATAGACGGGCTTACTATGCTTCTTGTCCTTGTAGCGACGGAACAGGAAGAAGGCCGCGAAGGCTGAGGCCAGAACGACTACCGGAACAGTAACACCTGTGACTATCGCAGTTCTTCGAGAGGTGTTTTTGGGAGCCGGTGCCGACTCAGACGATGTAGTTGGTTCAGTTGAGGAGATCGGTGTTGTTGAGGTAGGTGTTGAAAATGCTGATTGCAGCGTCGATGCTGGAGAAGCAGAGGAAGATGACAGCGATGACGTTATTGATGGCATCGACGTCGTAGCGGCTGTCTTCATGTCAGCTTGTCACTTTCTGGGCCAACGATAACGAGCTATTCACCTGCGATCTCAGCTAACTTAGATCCGCCGATATCACAATAACTGCTAAACACCTCCAGCGCCGTCGTATTCTGCGAAGGGTCGTCTGGACACTGGGTCATAACATGAGCCCCAATCATGCTGGAGAATTTGGCAGAGCTCTCATAGCAGACTATGGGAAGGCAGAGCCAACGTCAGCGCATGTTTTGGACGTTGGCGACGTTCCATGACGGAAACTTACAGCAAGTGAACGACTGGTAGCTGCCACCATCTCCGCATCCCCACTTCATGTTACGCACGATAGTGGACAACTCGAGCTCGGCGCATGTTGCAAGAAGTGCGTATTCTTCAATCTGGTCAATGAAGATACTCGTCGGACCACTAGCGCCTACTATGCTGGTCAAGGCTAGGAGAAGAGCAAGAGCGGGAAAGACACGGCTTCCAAACATATTGGTGTATGCTAGTGTATCTCACTGGGGGTGTATCGACACGAGCTATCTTTCTCACACCAAGGAGGCTAAGGAAAGAGTTGTGGAGAAAGCTGGGTTGGCAGCGGACCGGCGTATTTTGTACGCAGGGCGTTTTCGCACATGTCGCAAATTAGCCCAGCCTTCCTTCGCTGGGAATGCCTGTCTTGATGTGATAGCAAGGGCATGTGTATGCACGTACTTGAACCCGAGACGGCTGAACTCTGATTGGACGCCCACGTACGCATAAATAGACTTTTACCTCAACACACCGGCAAGGCTGAAGAATTGTGCAGCAGCAACGCTGAAAGAGAAATGATCGGGGTCTGATAGCGGCAGGTGAGAACATGGCGTTCTCTTCGGTGTCTGCCATTGACTAAATCCGGCGGGTGCGTCGCCATTTATCTCTAGAGTTTCGACCGGGCCAATAGGGGCGGCCTTTGGGGCGGCCCAGCTGCATGCACAGCGTCCGTGGAGGTACTCCCGCAGCTGTCACGGACAGCCACCACAATCAAGGTTAGCTCACCCGCAAAGTTTCGATGAGATAAAATTAGCTGGTAATTTGAGGTGATGTCACGGCAAGTGTGGCTGGCAAGGCTGGCCCCATATGTCTCCCAACCATGAACACAGGCGCATTCGACTGTGTCCGGCCCCTCGCAAGGTTGACCTGGATATTCACCATGGCGTATATAGTCTTTGGGATGCAAAGCCTAAATTACTCACCAATTACTACCCACATCTGTTTATAACTCGTATACATCTACGCACCACCAACTTTCACGATGCGCAGCCTTGTGGCTATCACTTCCTTGCTGGGGCTATCGACCACAGTAGTCAACGGCTTGGTACCAACTCGCAGGCAAGCTTCGACTTCATTCGCAGGAAGTAATGAGTACTTTCTGCATGCGCTTTCTGCATCCGAGCAGAAGGAGTATGTTGAAACTCTTGCTGGATGGGGCGCCAAGGTCCTGAGGCTGTGGGGTGAGTAGCATTTGAACAGTCATGAATACCTTTGGAATAATTCTGCATCCTCTTCGCAGTGGACTTGAGGGAAGCTCTGCAGTACTGACGATCATTGTGCAGCGACGAACGTTGCCACAGGGTGCTTAAAGGGCAGCACCATCGAGAATGACGTGCCAGCTTTCGAAACGACAGTCGGTGTTTACGATACTACCGTTCTAGATAAGCTCGACGACACTCTCAAACTCTTGCACGACAACGGAATGAAGGCAATCATATCTCCTCACAACGCCAATACACTGGGGGGTAGCGCAGGGTGCGATGCATACTGCCAGAAGTATGGCGACGCACCCACCTTCTATTCTTCATCCGACGCCAAAGCAGACTATGACAACAGACTCAACGAGATGCTAAACTACCAGTCACCAAACTTTGGCAAAGCCTGGAAAGATATGGACGAGGTCATTATGGCTTTCGACCTCCAGAACGAGCCGCTGATCGGGCAGATCGACCTGTTGAACGCCAACGATCCGGATGACTGGCTTTGTGGCCGTGCTGGAGCATTGCGCAGTGCTCTTGGATCCTCCAACATCAAAGTTGCAACAGGCGGCGTCGGCGGCTCTCACTACTGCTGTGACCACGAGTTCAATACGCTGGAGAAGGCTATGCAGTGCGATGCCATCGACATCATCAGCATGCACGGATATATGAGCAAGGCGTCCGACTGGGCCTACTACATCACCGGCGACAGGGAGGTCTTGAGCGGAGCCAGAGCTGCAGGCAAGAACATCATGATGGAAGAGTGGGGTGTTTCGGTCGACTACCAGGATTCTTTTGATACGCAGGTTCAAGTGTTCAATGATGCTGGAGTTCCTTGGGTAAGCATGACAGGTACAAACACTCGATGGAAAGCATGCTAACTTACATTGTAGTTGTATTGGCAGATTGTTCCTGGCTTGGATGGCTCTGAAGCTGGCGCGCCCACCAGCTGTGGTTATGATAGCTTTGAGATTGGCTTGGGTAGCTCAAAGGGCGATGTCGCCGGAGGGATTGCTGCAGCGAACGCGGCTTCGGCAGCGCAATCTTGGGCGGGTTATTTGTGACAAAGCGAATTTGGCTCGCGAGTGTTTTCGTAGTTGCGCTTCCTTTCGTTGATGTATTTCTCCAATTTTGAAAGTGTAGGGTTTGGCAAGCGCGTGCCATTCCCTCGTGCCCCTCTTTAGATAGACTATGCCGTTCAGAAGTTATGAAGTAAGCGACCCATTCCACTGGTATAGGCCGTGTGTCCAGAGACAATTTGATCAAACCAAATGCGTTTTTCTCGGGGTTGTTGCAGTCATGGCGCTAGGTGGTGGAAATCTGTTCAGCTCAGGTAGCCTGTAGTTGAATCCAGCGGCTACGACCGCAGGCGGTCAAGATATGGAGATTGGGGCATACATGTAGGAAGTGATGCGATTGAGATCCGTAAGGCCTAGAAGCGATGATCAGAAGGACCTCGGGAGGCGCGTTGCACTTGCCAAAACTCCACGCACCATAGACGCGTCGACATGACGTCAAAAGGCCCACTTTTCTACTGGCGCGTCTCCTACGCGTGCGCGCACTCGAAGGTTGCGAAACCTCAGAGCGCGAAACGCATCCTCTAGGTCGCTGTAGTGCTCTGTCGGTCGTGTACTCATGACTCAACAGAGTCGAAAGCGGAACGAATGAGGCTCGGTATAAGTACTATCGAAATTTCTTCTCACATCTATTGCTGTTATATGGCGTACCCTTGCATCATGCAACCCACGGGGCGTTCGCCGTCTAGACGCCTTTGTGTAACGATTAGCGAGCGAAGGCAAACACAAATTGGCATTGAGTAATGCCAAACTGATCACTCACCTTCCAACTGTCTCACGAATATCGGCCACACGAAGAAATCGCGAAGTCACATCGAACTCTAAGAAAGTATGCCCTGGCGCGATGAGTGGCCCGTTGGATTGAATGGAGAAGAGTACGACGGCAAACATATTCTGACACTGGTGCGGGACAATGCTAGTCCCTTCAAAGACGTCTGGAACGTGCAGTTGCTCATCGATGAGATTGAAGAGAAGCTCCAAGTTGAAGTAACAGATATCCCGACTATCGATAAAGGCTCCAACAACTATGTACGTGTATGGCCATGGCTATTCTAGGGCCAGCTGATCTAGCCCTGCGGCCCAACGCGATAGGCTCGGCGGAGACGCGATCGACGCTCAATACCATTCTAATTCAGCTCGCTTGCCAACCATAGTTTACTGATTTGTGCTTAGGGATTCCATCTTCAGGTTCGTGATGGACCGGACTTGGTAGTTCGTCTATCTCGCGGCGACGTTAACATGCCGGATTTCGATGGCTTTGTCGTCGAGCGGCAGATCGCAGAAGTTGAATTCGAAGCAGCCACATATGACCTGTTGCGGGACGAAGCAGAAGTCCGCGTGTCTCGCCTGCTCTATCACCGCGCACCGGTTCTCAAACCGGGCCCTAAAGTCCAGATACCAGCAGATCTCTTGGGTCGACGCATCTTTGTGTTCGAACGATCAGACGGCACAAACAATGTGTGGAAAGCGCTTGATGCTGGGGCAAAGGTATGAGTCATTTTTCAAAGCGTTGAGATATACTAAAAGCTCTCAGACAAGTCTCCTTGATCAGCTCGCACGCATGCGTGCCGCTCTCTTCAAATATTGGCCACCCTCGGACTTTGCAGTCAAGTACCTGCATAGCCGTATCTTTGACTTCAAACCAGATGCTTTCACGTTGCCCGTAACGCCTACTCGCGAATTCTGGATACATGTAATACAGTCAAAGATTGAAGCTACAATCAAGAACGAAGGTGACGTGATTGGATGGGAAGATGACGAAGAAACCGTGGGACCTGTCGCACTGGCAGCGAAGCAATCTCTCCTCAAAGCGATACCACATCTACTACCGCAGGAGAGTTCCGACATCTTGTACAGGCTAGTGTTTGAGCACGGTGACTTTGGGATACACAACACTTCGATCATCACAGACGATGACCGTAAGCCCGGAGTCACGTCGCTATATGATTGGGAGACAGCATGCATCGTTCCAGCTCTACTAGCTGACCCACTTGTCGCGGCTGGTCCTGTGGATCTGATTACGAACGAGCATGCTGAGCCAGCTGTTACTAGGATACCTGGATCATCGACAGCTGCAGAACTAGAAGCATATGCCACCTGGTCGCGACATTACATCAAGGTTCGTCTGCACCGAATGCTGCTTACCATGATGGTGCGCTAACCCCTGGTACAATGAACAGGAGTTGTACACGCATGCGCCAGATTTCGAATTCGCGATCAAAGCGGGAAAAGATGTGCGCTACCTCTGGTTTGCGCTGCGCGACTGGCATGGTGGTGAATCCGAAAAATTCTTCGGCGACCTTGGAGCTTGGGCAGAGGCACAATTGAAGGATATGGGCATCCCGTGAGGTACTACCACCACGTCGGGCCTCTATGTGCACAATTTGCTATCATTCTGAGAGGGGCCTGTAGTGAATCGTGAGATATTGGTGTGGTCTGAGGGGAAAAGATGTTCACTTCATGACGAAAATGAAGCCAAAAGCATACAACAGCGGGAGTTCGTCAGTCATTGATCAGCAACCAATGCACTGCTCGGTTCGGCTGAGCGGACGCGACGCGATGCGATCACTATTCATTGAAGCTCAGGACAATTGACGAACGTCAGCGGGGTGGCAAAAGCTGTGCTCGGCGCGAAAAGAGCTCGCTTTGATCTTGTCAGGATTCTTGCGTCGCATGTTCAGTCGGTGCGTGAAGCACGCCCAGCGCGCCTATAGACTAGCTTCCTTCTGTAGGCTCGAGGCGCATCGCAGGAGGCGCGTGAAAATTCTTGTCGTCGTTTAACGCGTAGCCTGGACTGAAGCTTGACTGAGAGACACTGTGTGCTGCTGTTCTAGGAATTCGGAGTATTGCAGTAGTTTCGGCAGGTGCGGCCTTCGTGGGAGGTGGGGTGGCGGGGTAGCTGCGCAGGTGTCTACTATGAGTTTAGCGTGGCTGCTTCTGGTTAATACGGCGCATGCCCCCTGGGACAATCGCGCGCAGCAAACAATCTTGGGATCGCATGAGGACAATCCCCACTCCCACCATCACATTGAGGAGGATACTCATCATAAAGCCACGTCTCATCCAGCCCCGTTCATCAGGAACACCTGTGTGAAGAGCTACGTCTATCAGTCAGACTACAAGATGAATCCGGATACCAAGGAACCCCTATGCCCCGACTGGGTCGTTGTGAGTAGTTCCAACGTACAGTAAGTGTACCAGAGCTGGCAAGAAAGCATCAGATGTTGATTACTTGTTTATACAGCGTTGCAAACGATCGAGCCTGGTTCAAAACGTACACGCCCTTCAAATCAAGAGTGGATGTCTCTTCGTCACTTGACATAATGCCCATCTTCTGTCCCGTGCTGGGAATAGGAAGCGTCGAAATTCCGACAATACGCTCGCCTGATGGTTCAGGTGCATCCTCGCACGGAACCATCCTCCTCCGCGAGGTCTTGCACGCGCCTGAATCTATCTACAACTTTCTTGGGCAACCTCTCTTCTCCACAGATGGTTACAGCCTTGCGTTTGGTAGTGACAACCCGAAAGCTCTAGGCACTATCAAAGACCGCCAGGGCAAGGACGTCGCCTACCTTGACGCCGAGCACCCAAAGTGGACACCCAAAGTGCGCTGTGCGCCAGATGGATTTACGCTCGGTCCGTACGTGTTCCAGAAAGGCCATGGTGCGCCAGTATTCCTAGGTGGTCATTGGGACGAAGCCGAAGAGCGCAGGTGGCAAAAGTTCAAAGCTAGAAAAGAACAGCCCATAGAGACGACCACAGCAGAAGAACAGCCTGGCGAACCACAGTTGCCGAATATCTCCCCCCTAATAAACACAACCAAAGTTCCCTCGCGAAAAGACCCCTCAGGCTCAAGTGCGAAAGACAGAGAACAACCCACTTCAGGGCGACAACAACGCGATCACCTTCTTCTTCCAAAGCCTGCATTCTCTCACAAAAAGAAACGACGGGCTCCTCAACATCGACAAAGTGCACACCGGCAAGATGCTACATCCCACAAGGCTGAGGAAACCACTGCTCCTAGGAAAACCTATGGTTTACAAATTCTCGTTTTAATAACTGGTATCTTAGTAGCTTGGTGGACTATGAGTGGTGTTCGTGCGTGAGAGCTTCGTGGTGGATCGTGGGCTGGTGGGGCGAACGCGCAAAAAAAAAAACACTACCAACACGGTGCAAAAAAGAGCAAAAACATACAACAGCGCGTATTCCCCGGTGGTCACCCACCCGAGTACTAATGCGCCGGTATCATGCTTGTATATGGCTGAGCGGACGGGAAGCCTAATTCTCATGATCCTATGGTCGTATGTATCATTTCTGACATCTTCACATTATCTATACTCGAAGCTCGTGCATCGAGATCGCCAAAACGCCGCAGTACATCCGCAACATCCATGGTGTAGTACAACCGTCCATACATCAACAGAGCATGTACTTAGAAACCACTCTCTTCGGATCCCCCGCTTCTATTTGAGCCAGGGCTTCGCCGTGCATGTACCCGTCGATATAGACGTCACCCACGTACCTATACTCGTTGCGACGGCCTTCCGGGCGGAGCAGGATAGGTGTGGAGCAACCAAACGGAACGACAACAACATCCTTCGCTGTCATGTAGCCCGAACCCATACCAATCAGGCCGCCTGCTGTAATACACAGGCTTCGTCCCATCATACGGTTGCCGAAATGGTCTTGCAGGAAAGTGCGCCGTGCCTTGGGCTCGATGAGCCCTGTCGTACCCACATGGCGCTTGAGATCTTCGTCCATCGGTAAGCGAGGCATTCTTTCGCGTATCAGAGCTGCGAAGACGTGGTAACAGAGGTTGTGCCACATGTCTGACTGGCTCCAATCTGGCGGTATCTGTCCCAGGCACAGGGTCCTGCAGAAAGAGCTGTGCATTTGGTGGGTATCATTGCCTTCTTCTACGCTGAGTTCATGAAGAAGCATTGCGCGCCATTGCAGAAATGATGTTAGATAGTCTTGAGCAGCGCAAAATGTGCCTACGGCGACACCTGTTGCGGTAACTGTATCAATACTGATTGCGGAGATCTCAAGCTTCCGTCGTTCATCGTGGAACCAGTACCGTGCCTTAGTTGGGCCGTTCGCGTTGCTAGAGGCTGCAAAGTTGAGACTGCGCCCCAGGCCAGAGACTTCCGGAATGTGCGACCAATCCGGACACCAGCTGGGCAGGCCTGTAGAATTGACGTGCAGAGGGAAGTGTATCGCTTCGCGGATCACATCGAGCTTTTCAGTAGTCGAGATCAGGTGGTCGACAACGTCTGTGTAGACCGTCTTGACAGATTGGCTATAGTCGACGGGGAAATCGCGTTGTGTAGCGTCCGAGAGCAGACCTAGAATGCCAAAAACTTTGTCGCGTGGATTCTCGCTTAACTTCTTTCTGCATGCCCTCATTACCTCTAATAATGACTCGTCTCCAAGTTGCTTCAAAGCGTCGCGGTCTGGGAAGCTTGATGGTCCTTGGCGGATGTGTGGGTCGCTGTCTCTGCCCCAGAAGACTTCCGCTGCTTTTTGGTATACTTCCCAAACGAACGCCGAGGATCCGCAGTATACCATCTTATTGTCTGCGAGAAGGACCTCTTGAACGACTTCGTTGTGATCAGTACGAGATGGAAAGAGTGGGCTATCATCACTTACCCCAAAGTCGCTTCCAGTAGTCTCTCTTGAATAAGTTGAGGAGCGCCAATGAGTCTGGGTTACGGATGGATTTTATGTACTGAGGGTCAATCGAGTTGTCGGCCACTCTCTGGAGTAGTTGTAGTGCTAGCGCGCTCTCCTCATATTCAGGTCCTATCCAGATGGCCACTGACACTGCGCCGCTGTAGATCTGACCCATCAATCGAACTTGTGCAGCTCTCTCGTCTTTGTTGTGCTGGTCGATACAGAGAGCATCAACCCATACAAAAATGTCTTCTTTCTTTCGGCGCACCGCTCTCAGTGCATCGTGAAGGCTGACTGCGACAGGGATTGTTGCCCCTTCTAGAATTAGTGGTCTTGTATCAACCCCGTCGCCCCAGGCGTACTATGCAAGATCAGTGTTAGTGGATGTTTCGAGACTGCGACAACAACTTACCGAGATAGCAGTATATTCTGGGTGGCTTTGGAGCGATACATGAATAATTTCGCATTTTAGCTTCCACATTCTCTCCGGCAGGATCTTGACTAGTCGGATTTCAGAAGGTTGTAATGGCTGATATTGGTATGTTTTCGGACCAAGTACTCCCGAGCTGGGTGATGAGGGAGACCATGACAGGATTCTTGAGGAGGCAGTGGAGGCAGCTGAAGTCGATCGCGGTCTTTGCACATCTTCGCTTACTCCTGATGTAGAGTCGCCTGCAGTTTCGATGTTGGATAGGTACTGCGAGTATGCAGCAGGATGTTGGGATATAGAAAGTCGTGGGAGCTTCATGTTTGCATTGAAAGCCCCATTGTGGCCCGATGTGGACGGCCGGCTATCAATCTCATCTTGCCGGATGCGCTCGTCCGAAGTAGATGCCAAGTCCCGTACCCTCGCAGGTAGGGATGTGCGATTGCCGTGCGGTATGTTTGTTGGTGACCATGAAATGCCATCAGTAATAACATCTTGAGTACCCATGCGATTGGTATCCTGGTTGGAAGACGGTCCAGATAGTGTTTCATTGGGTAGCGGTGGTGATCGCGAAGAAAGCTTCCTCATAAGTCGAGCATCTCCAGCAGAAAACTTCATCGATGATGCTCTATTCACGTGCTCATCATTGAAGCGATGTTCGCCGTACTCTCGCCCTGTAGATCGCACTTGCGTATCCACTTGCACACGATCATACTCATGGTGCTCGCCATAGATCGCCTTTGCAGATTGTCGGTCGGTTCGCTCAGCTGGTTCGTAACGGTGAGCCAAAGAGGCATGGGGAAATCCGAACGGCGTTGGTTTTCGTGCAGGTTTGATGCGCCGCTCTTCTAACAAATCAAACCGATGCTCGCCGTAACCTCTATTATCTGAGCGACTTCTCTCGTGGTGAGCATCAAGTCGTGTTTGCTGACTTTGCGAGAATCGTGCCCTTGCCAATTCATCCTCAGTGTCGCTAGATGAGTCTTGTTTGCGGCGGTCATGATCCTTTGGGTGGTGCGAAGAGCTGGCGCGATACCGATCTTTGTCCCCATCATGCCTATGTCGACGCCTTCGCTCGTCATCAGAACGATACCCTCGGTTCGAGGAATTTTGTATTCGCTCACTGTCGCCCGAAGAGGTCTTGTGTCGCCTCCTGCGGGTTCGCTCTGCATCGGCGTCCTGGGGTGTGAGATGGTGGCCGTGTGAGTGGCGCTTCGAATCGCGCTGGGGACTGAACATCTTGGGCGGATCACGCGAAATGCGAAATACAGGGTTCTTTTGGCTTGAATCGATGCTTCTGTAGGTTTGTGGTTTGTGAGAGGCTCTCAGGTGGCATTGGGCCTTTACTTAGATCAGGCGCGAACTGCTGCCTTGGTGGGGTTGATGAGTGCCACGGCTGCTCAGCCTCCGGTCATCAGCCATAGTCAGCTCGCTTCAGCTGGCAGGGATTCGATTGCATAGCTGACGGGAGCACACTGGGACATAATGCGAGAACTACTGGGGAGTATCAGCCTCACGAGGTTGGTGCAGTGTTAAGGTGCACACTGCCATTCGCAAGGAAGCCGCCGCTGCGAACAGAAGTAGCGTGTTTTGCTGCTCAGAGTTATCTAGGCCATGGCTGCGTGATGTTCGAGGCTGCGCTCGCGAAGATATGTACCTTAAAGAACAGGAGATGTCGAGCGGATGGAAGCACCTATTGTATGTTCTTGAACGGCCCTTCTCCTACCTACAGTCCATGCTCAATGTGGGTCTGGCTGCGTCGTCATCGGCCCGCCGAATCGCCTGCGACCATCGTCGCGCTTCTCGCATGTCCCCTTATCGATAAGTGACGATGTCAAGACATGCCTACAATACTTGCCACTACCTTTCATGCCGACTTACATCTTCGCACTCGGGTGTAATGCGCGTCTCTCTGCCACGTTTCCCAACTGTGCACCAATTGCCGCGATCCGGCGGCCGCCTTGGCCCCGCACTTTCGCGTACGCTCCTCAATCCAGCCTAGTCCGAGATCCTCCAGGAACGGTCAACAAAAGAACCGCCGCGACTGCGAAGCGGAAACAACCCATCTCACAAGGATTCGTGGGTCGTGACATGATGTACGGAAGTGCGATTGCTCCGACAACTCCGATAATAGTGGAGTTGAACAGGCCTTCATGGTAACCTCGCAAATGCCTCGCCTCGCGATCCATCCCCGAAGCGACATAGCCATGGTAAACTAGGCGTTCTAGCTGGGTATATGCTCTTGTATAATCGATACACTCGGAAAGCCCTCGGTGGTGGCGTCCGGCTGGAATGCTGGCTTATGCATTCTACCGAGAAGCCCCGTGGAATGCACGCTCGTGGCAGTTAGATCCAACAGGGCATTTAAATGAACTTATCGCTCCTTCCAACAGCCTTGGGTTGAATGACTGAGATAGCGATATAAGAAGGTACTATTCACTCCTCGATACCTCCGGTGCACCTCCATCACCACATACAAGCACTTACACCTTCTTTACCATCTACAACTCCTTCATATTGTACCAAAGCAGTATTAATATTTATCGCGCTGCGAAAACTTCCAAAATGGTACTCCCCTACTTCACCGCCCTCGTCTTCGGCACCATGCTCCCGGGCCTCAACCTAACCCAATACGCCGACCACTACGACAACGTCCACATCCCACTCGTCAAGTCGCTCACGGGCTCAAACTTCCCCGTCATCCACACACGATACTACGTTGGCGGCAACCCTGCCTTTGTAAACGCCAGCTCCCCCGTCGACTACGACTCCATGGCGACCATGCAATTTCGAGACATGACGCATGCGTTGACGTTCATGAGCATTATTAGCGCGCCGGAGGCGGCGAAGAAGATTGCGGAGGACGAGCATTTGTTTATGGCGTGTGCACCGAGGACGGTGATTGTGGGGACGGATGGGAGTGTGACAGGGCCGTAGCGGGTGTGGAATAAACGTGAATGGCGTATCGTGGCCATGTTTAGGATTTAGAATACTGAAGCATTACCACCATAAGGGTCAGGGCAAGATACGCTGACGTGAAGACGTGAGACCACAAAGTGTTCCTTAGCCAAGGATTATAGTCTCCGGCTGGAAGTGGTCCCACCAGCAGAAGTCTGTTATCGCAGCAGACGGAATTTCTGTTTCTGCGTAATAAGGTCTTCTGAACTGTCGTCCAAAGATACGGTTGAACTTGTTCACGAGACCAAAGGTTGGATCGTCACGGTCATAACACTCGCCAAAATTTGCGGGCAGTCGAGTGATACCTATTCGTTCGTGATGGTTTCCGTGTTGCTCAAGTATGAGAACATGAGCGTGCAACTCGTCCACGGTGGATTTGGTAAATTCTGCCCCGGGCAGTAGAACACACTTCAACGTTTTGTTTCCCTTGTCCGGAGCCACGTCCCAGTACACCTCCGCAATAGCATTCCATCCATTACCCAGTGAAAACTCAATCACTTGAAGGTCATGTCCGTTATACCACCTGCTCCGAGTTAAGAGCTGGAAATTGCACATTGCGGTTCGTGCTTCTACTTTGAGGTACTGCGAGAGTTCTTCTGGTGTGGAATTGTCGGGGTTGGCTGGAGCATATAGCTCGTGGAAATCCTTATTGGACTTTACTTGTACAATTTTTGCTTCCGGTGAGACGTAGGTTGGCAGGCGGCGTCTGTTCGGCCAGTACCAGTGGATTAGGGTTTTCCATCCGAGGGGCGACCAACTGGGGAATCCTTTGCGGCGTATGCTTGGCTTGTAGTGGTGCCACAATAATGCTATGTCGATATCCCGCCTAACACTGCGGCTAGTTGAGAGAAAGTCCTTTAAACTAGGTGAGTAGTCTGCCGAGGAGCGTTTCCAAGGGACTCCCCAGATGTGCTGAACACCGTATTTGGCGTAAGAGTTCAACGCACCAACTATGGCGTTGAGCGCATCTGCGTCGAAGGATAACTTGCGATGGCTGAATAGCGCCAATGCTTCCATTGACGCAATCAGTGTGTCAGCCGCCTCGAGTTGTGCGGTGCTGGCAAACCAGCCTGGCATTAGCAGGTGAGCGTCTTCGGAGGGGCCGCCGCCGCCATGGGGTCTATCTGCCTCGTAGTAGGAGTCTGTGCCACAAATGAAAACGACTTGTCTGTCGGTGAAAAAAAGACGCCGTTTTGAGAAGTAACACTCTTGGAAGGTCCTGAATGCATAGTCAGCTCGTTATGAGTATGGTGTGATGACCGGACGTCCTACCACGCTCGCGAAGCCCACGAAGATGCTTTCAACTTGTGTAGGTTCCAGCTGGGGCTTGTGTGAGGTAAATGGTATAACTGCACAGATCTCGTGGATGCGCGATGGGAGGAGAAGCCCCGAGAATGTGGCCGTACTCCAGGAAGCCCATGATTCGAGTCATGGCCAGCCGCAGCGAAGATGGTAAACTGCGCTGCTGCATATATATCTGCCATCTGCATAATCTGGTGTTGCTTCGCTTGTGCGTCGGACTGATCGATGCACTGAACATTTAGCAGACTCAATCAGGGACTGAAAGGCACTGAGGTCTACCTACATATCGATCGACCCAGAGGTATTTGTATCCCATTGATAAGGTAGTCTGAATAGCGTCTTCGACAGTTTGTGGGATTATCTCCCGGGTGTTGGTCGAGCCGACCTTCTTGTCTTCTTGGCCCCAGACATACGACAATGCTGCGTATCGACATGCATGCGGCACAGGAACGATCCTTCGATGCTCACAATCAATGACTTTTAAATCC